CTGATAGAGAATGTTGGTGGAAGTCAAATTATTGTTAAATACGAACCTGGACTGATAGAGAACGTTGATGGAAGTTTATTTGTTGTTTAATATGAACCTGGATTGATAGATAACGTTTATGGAAGTAAAAATATTGTCGAATAATAACCTGTACTGATAGAGAACGTTGATGGAAGTTTACTTGGTATTGAATAATAACCTGGACTGATAGAGAACGTTGATGGAAGATTACTTGTTGTTGAATAATAACCTGGACTGATAGCGAACGTCGATGGGAGTTTACTTGTTGTTGAATAATAAGCTGGACTGATAGAGAACGTTGATAGAAGTCAAAGTATTGTTGATTAATAACCTGAACTGATAGAGAACGTCGATGGAAGTTTATTTGTTGTTGAATATGAACCTGGACTGATAGATAACTTTGATGGATGTAAGGTTATTGTCGAATGATAATCTGTACTGATAGAGAACGTTGATTGACATTTACTTGTTGTTGAATAATAATCTGAACTGATAGAGAACGTCGATGGAAGTCAAATTATTGTTGAATAATAACCTGGACTGATAGAAAACGTTGATGGAAGTTTACTTGTTGTTGAATAATAACCTGGACTGATAGAGAATGTTGGTGGAAGTCAAATTATTGTTAAATACGAACCTGGACTGATAGAGAACGTTGATGGAAGTCTACATTTGTTGAATAATAATCTGAACTGATAGATAACGTTGATGGAAGTCAAATTATTGTTCAATGGTAACCTGGACTGATATAGAACGTTGATGGAAGTTTACTTGTTGTTGAATAATAACCTGACTGATAGAGAACGTTGATGGGAGTTTACTGGTTGTTTAATAGTAACCTCGACTGATAGAGAACGTCGATGGAAGTCAAATTATTCTTAAATATGAACCTGGATTGATAGAGAACGTCGATGGAAGTTTACTTGTTGTTTAATAATAACCTGTACTGATAGAGAACGTTGATGGAAGTCAAATTATTGTTAAATACGAACTTGGACTGATAGAGAACGTTGATGGAAGTGTACTTGTTGTTGAATAATAACCTGGACTGATAGAGAACGTTGATGGGAGTTTACTGGTTGTTTAATAATAACCTTTACTGATAGAGAACGTCGATGGAAGTCAAATTATTTTTAAATATGAACCTGGATTGATAGAGAACGTCGATGGAAGTTTACTTGTTGTTTAATAATAACCTGTACTGATAGAGAACGTTGATGGAAGTCAAATTATTGTTAAATACGAACTTGGACTGATAGAGAACGTTGATGGAAGTGTACTTGTTGTTTAATAATAACCTGGACTGATAGAGAACGTTGATGGGAGTTTACTGGTTGTTTAATAATAACCTTTACTGATAGAGAACGTCGATGGAAGTCAAATTATTTTTAAATATGAACCTGGATTGATAGAGAACGTCGATGGAAGTTTACTTGTTGTTTAATAATAACCTGTACTGATAGAGAACGTTGATGGAAGTCAAATTATTGTTAAATACGAACTTGGACTGATAGAGAACGTTGATGGAAGTGTACTTGTTGTTTAATAATAACCTGG